ATGTTTCCAGTTCTTCTAGTTTCTTTAAATATACCGAAGAAGGACTTCCCTGGTGCTCCAGGGGCCAAGACTCCAAGCTCAGGTTCCATTCCTGGCGAGCAAACTAGATCCCACATGCCATAACAAAGACCCACATGCCTCAAAAAAGGTGAAAGATCCTCTGTGCTATAATTAAGACCCAGGGCTGGCAAAGAGAAAAATCAGAATTTTTTAAATCTAAGTCAAAAAATATATACCGAAGAGATCAATTTTTCTTTCTAGGTCTACAAAATGAGTGGAAAAATACATTTCTTATTCAAACTAAAGCAGACATTTCCAATATCTGAGGGCTATGGAGATTTGGTTTTGCCATTTTTTTCTGCTATCTCTCACTCAAGAGTGTTTTTTCCTTCTTAATTGCCATGTCATGTTTATTGATGACTTACATGTAGGAGAAGCCTGGAAATCCTGCAATCAGGGTGGCTTCCTGTAGGTGCCAAACCAGATGCCCCCCCTACTTCGGTGACAAAAGCCTTCCATCAGGTGAGCTGTAGTGACCACAAAAGTTCTCCAACAGGCAGATATGAGCAGCGATGAGCCGAAAAACAAAAGTAGACACACATCCATGGGCCCTGAAGTTGGAGAGAAAGGGGTCAGTCAGAATCACATTCAGCAAAACAAAATAAAAACTGCTCATGTTTTCAGTCATGGAAAAACAGCACATAATAAAAGCAGTTTATGGAACAGTATATCAATGCTATGGGGTGCTCCAGGCCCTTCACATGAAACTGTGTAGTAGGAGTTGGGTTGAAAGGGATCCCTGAAATCATGACTCACAGAAAGCTTGAAAACCATTGTTTTGGGAATTTTTCCTCTTCCTCTGGGGATCCTAGGAAAAGCTGAACCCCTCAGAAATGCAGGGAGGGTGCCCTGACATCATGACAAGGAAGGTCATGGGCCAGAAGAGGCTGTCTGGCTAGATCCAGGGGTCACAGGCCCAGCCCAGATCTCTTAACCTTCCCCGTATTCTGCTCCCTTGGGTACACCTGCAGGGCACACTACAACCCCTCACTCACCCCGAGTGCTCCTCGGGGTGCCCACCCTCTTATTGATCCCCCACACACAGTCACCAATTCCATTCTGCCCTGGACTCCCACTTTCGTGGTTGCCCACCCCTCCAACCCAAGGCCGCCACACCGACTCCAACGGCCTGCCCTCTTTAGCCTTCTGATGGCAAAGGCCCTGCTTCCAGTGCCCCGCTGATCCCAGAACCTATTTCTCTCTCCCTGCTCCTGCTGTTTCTGTCCCATGGCAGCTGAGAGCATATAGTCCCCACATGGTCAATACGAGGACAATATGAAACTCTCTTGTGAGTTTCACAGCACTGCTCTTCTAGGACACAACCACTTGTCCTAGCAAAAGGTTTGGGAATTTTGAAAGTTCTGCCTTGGGAATAAAGCCTGCAGTGGTATCTGCTCTTCTGTCTGAGTGGATACAATATTCCCTCCTCAGACTAAGTACCATTACTGACTAAACCACCAGGGGGCAAAGATGCTCTATTTAATTCTAATTGCCTCATTATAAAAGTGGGGGAACATTTGGAAAATATAGATAGACCAATAGTAGAAAATCAAAACCAGCGGATACCCTGTATGTCAGATAACCATTCAGAGCTTCATAGCATTTTGCTTACATTTTTTTTCCCATCTACTTAAACATAAATAAAATGTAAATGTAACATTTATCCACATACTATCTTGTTTCTATGTTGAAATAAAATCTTGCAAAGATCTTTCCCAGGTGTTATTTATTCTTCTATGGCATTACTTTCTAGTATTTAATTATTGCAAAAGACATGGGCAGTATACTTCATAGAGATTCAATTTCTATGCCTACTGTAGAGAGGAAAAAGAAAGTTCCCTCTGCCCTCCTAGATTCTTGACTGAGACTCCCCCCTCCATAATAAAAGACAAATACACAGGAGAAAGGCAAGTTTAAAAACATAGATACCTCCTTTATACACAGGAGAGACCTAGGAAGCCTGCGTAACTCACCCAAATGGCTGAAACTACCACATTAAATACCATTTCCAGCTAAAGACAAAAGGAGGTATTGGGGGTGGGGGGCGGTTAAGAGAGGGAACCAGGAAAGACATAGTAAACAAGGGTAAAGTTGCCATGCAAACTTAAGACTTTCTTCACTGATAAAGAGTTTCAGGAAAAACAACAACAACAACAACAAGAGTTTCAGGAGATAAAGTCATCCATGTCCCACTCCCTCCTTTCTGAGAGCAGGAGACACCCTTGCAAATGGAGATTTCCCTTAGAAGTGTAAAGGTATCTTATCAAAGAGTAACTTCTACTTGGTTTTCAGAGCTTCTCCTCTGTCTGTAACGTCTCAGAAATAACCAGCCCCAAATGATCAGTGTGCCAAACAGGCATATTTTGGTGTGGCAAGCTCTGCTCTCCCTTCAACACCATTGATAAGCCCTTTAGTTTAGAGGATCAATGACCAGAAGAGGAATTGCTGGCTCAAAGGCAAGCCAACCAACCCTTTTAGGTTTGGACACCTATTGCCAAGTTGCTTTCCAGAAAGAGAACTCTACTCTCTCTGGAAGTGTGAGAGAATGCTGCTGTGATCTTGTCCTTGGCAACAGTGGTCCTAACTTTTGAAGTCCTTGCCACATTCACAGGCAACATATTTCTTCACCGGTGGTTTAAACTGTGCCTTGTCAATCAAATGTAAAAGACACATGTACTGAGCACTGATTCACTGTCACACCTGGTACACACTGGGAACCCAGAAAGGGGTAAGACAGATAGCATGCCACTCAGCCCAGTCTCCGGTTCTAGGGAGATGTGCTGTGCTCAGGTGCTCAGTCCTGGCTGACTCATCGCTACCCCCTGCACGGTAGCCAGCCGGAATTCTCTGTCCGTGGGATTTCCCAGGCAACAGTACTGGAGTGGGGTGCCATTTCCTACTCCAGGGGGTCTTCCCAACCCAGGTATCGAACCCACATCTCTTGTGTCTCCTGCATTGGCAGGCACGTTCTTTACCAATCGAGCTATCAGGGAAGCCCAAAAGCTCATGAACCCAAAACTAGATTTAATACATGATCCAACTGTTGTTTCAATTTCTCCCAGAAACGGAATCTTAATCAACCTGTCTGGAATTACCAATAAGGTAATCTGTCTCATAAGTCCTGTCTATCCCCCAGAGGAAGAAAAGGCCATCTGCATGAAAACAACAAACATAAACCCCCTCCCTTTCCTTGCTCCAGAATCACCGGATATCCTACATCTTGAAAAGGACAAATTCAAAACCCCTGCCATTCTGTCTGGGCTGGCAACTGAAATGCTCCCCTGGCCTTGCAGTAAGAGGTGGCCTGCCTGTTCCCTATTTCACCAGGAAAGCAGATACTAACGCAGCAGAACTGTTAAGGAACCTTCTCTCCGCTCCACTGCACTGTGGGCTGCGCCAGGGGGCGCGTGCACCGGGGGGAGGTAAGGCGCGTGACCCAGAGGGGAATGTGCGTGCGCCCGAGGGGGGGCCCATGCCACGGGGGGGTGGGTGCGCATGCGCCGGGGGGCTGCGTGTGCGCCGTGAGGGGACTTGTGCGCAGTGGGGGTCGGCGGGTGCGCCAGGGGGGCTGGGGGCGTGCGACTGGGGAGGGGGGGTGGCGAGCGCGGTGGGGGGCCTCGTGCACCGTGGGAGGAGGCGCGTGCGCTGTTGGGGGGTCTCGTTCGCCTTGGGGGCGGGCGCGTGCTCCGCGGGGGCGGGGGAGTGCGCCGGAAGGGGGGCGTGCCCCGTTGGGGCGCGTGCACTGAGGACAGGTGCCTATGCTTTGTGGGGGCCGGCACGTGCGCTGGGGGGGCGCGAGTGCCGGGGGTGGGCCCGTGTACAGTAGGGTTAGGCGCGTGTGCCGCCGGGGCTGGCGCGTGCGCCAGGGTGTGGGTGCACGTGTGCCGGGGGGGGGGGAGGGGGGGCGTGCGCGGTAGGAGTGCATGCCTCAGGGAGGCTGAGCGTGCGCTGGTGGAGGGAGGCGCGTGCGCCATGAGGTGGCTCGTGCGCCGTGGGGTCACGTGCGTGTTCCAGGGGGCTGGGCGCGTGCGCCTGGGGAGGGGGGCATGGGCGCCCTGAGGGAACTCCTGCGCCTTTGGTGCGGACGTCTGCGCCAGGGGAGGTTCCTGCGCCTTCGGGGCTCCTGCGTCCAGGAGGGTGCCAGTGCGCCCGGGAGGGTGCCCGTGCGCCAGGGGAGGTGGGTGCGTGTGCCATGAGGGGGCTCGTTTGCCGTGGGGGCGGGCGCGATGTACGCTAAAGCAGATGTACACTGCATGATAAACAGGTCACAAGACAGGCTGTTCTAGTTAGCCCAAAGTTCAAGCTAAATCACGTAGAAGCCAGAATGATTTCCCCATACCTCAATTGTGAAAATTTCTTCCATCAATCACAAAGTTTTCTTGATCCCAAACAGTGGTCTAAAACTCTCTAATCCTGCATCTGAACTTTGTGCAACTTTGCACAACAAGTTGTGGGCTATATGCTTCCTGTCTCCTCTACTCTCCTGGAGGTAGAAAGGAGATTCCTTTGATTATCTACTCCTCTTAGGATATGGAGAGAGCACACTGAGCTGAAATTCTAACCCCTTGCAAATCCACAGATGTTTCCTTTACACCCATTGTTGATTCTGTGTTCACCCTAGTGGATTAGAAGGGATACATACACCTTGAGTAAGCACATACCTCACATACTGACTTTTTTTCTATATCTTAGCTCATGTCTTCTTATGAGTCCATATTCTGCTTATGGGATTCTGCTTCCAGGTATTGGCTCGTATTTCCACATACAGACGGTGGTGAATTGACTGAAAAAAAGGCCACAGCAATTCCTCCTGTCCTTGGATATGCAGACTTTTGCTAATATGTTGAAGGTAGAGCTGAGGATTTGCTGATGGAGTTAGTGTGGGACATGAAAGAAACAGAGGAGTCAAGGGGGATGGCAAGGTGCTTGGCCTAAGTAAAATGAAGAAAAGCACTTTCATTCATCAAGGGGCAGAAGACAGAGGAAGAACAGATTTGCGAGGGGGAAAAAAGCAGCCAGTGAGTAAAACCTTCATGAATACTAAATCTATTGTTTTTTCAAAACGTAAACTTATAAAATCCATAAAACTAAGATTCTCTTAAATGTTCTGATATATATGCAGTATATTAATTAAGAACTCAACTAAAATCCCAACACCAAACAGGTTAGTTAATTACGTATTTTCAGTTGGAACAACAGCCTCCTCCTCTTCAGGTTGAGCTGTTGTGAGTATCCAGAGAGGTTGACCTGCAGCACTGTCTCATAGAAACACATGATTTCTGAAAGAAATTGGAGTGTCATTGCCCTAAGTAAACAGTGAAATATGTGCACATATGTGATGATAAAGTCAGAGAAAGTAACTTAATGATCTGAGTGGTAATTTGATATTCTGGTGTTGGTAATAGACTAAAGGCAAATGCCTCTGGTAACATCAGATAACCCTTCATTTTTATCTTTTCAAAACTGATGCAGATGACCAGATGATTATTTTCTTTTCTTCTTTTGTTATAGAAAATTAAGAGCTTTCTTAGCATTCAACCTTCCTTACATTTCCTGGTCATGGTGCGCTCTTTGAACATGCTGCTCTGGATTATGCTGGCTAGTGTTTGGGGCTTTCCCATTCATGTTGCAGACAACATCTGCAGCGTAGGTGCCAATAATCTGTCTGAGAGATGCATAAAGAAGCAGGAAAATGTGTTCACAGAACCTCATGCAAGCCAAGGAACTCAGAAGGACAAGTGAGTGGCGGGCTCGGCAGGGAGGGTGGGCACCTGGCTGACTCCTCTGCTCCAAGTGCAGCGGGCCTCGCCCTCATCCTGCAAGACCCAGAGTCCTGGGCTCCTGCCCTTGGTCCCTGGCCGCTGCCCTTCACCCACCGCCGCCTGGGGAAACCTAGGCCCCGCCCCTCGTTTCTGATCTCGCCTCCTTGTGACCATTAGCTTCGCCCCTCCCCCAACCATCTTCTCCCGCCCCTTCAGCCCAACTCCGCCTCCATATTGCGCCTGCGCACTAGCAACCATCTGCTCTTCAGGGCGGGGACTGAGCAGGCCCCAGTAGGGCTCGCGGCCCCGCCCACCCCCGCCCTCGGGCCCGCCTCCAGGAAAGCGCTTCCGCAAAGGCTTGGCGAGTCAATCAAGATCAGAATGGTAGTGGGATTTCACGGTGTTTGGCAGTCTAAATGCAAATGCCTCAGGTAAAATCATACCCACTGACCTGAAATAGGGCCAATGGGAGATGGCTTCCAGTCTTATGTGAGACTCATTCGGTAGCAGGAGAGAATAATCAAAGGGATATAAAGGTCCAGCTGCAATTAGAGAAAAAGAGAAGTGATCTGAGCTCTACATCCTGATGAACCTCTCGGGCAGGAAATAAGACATTGAAGCTTGGGGCCCTCTAGACAGAATGGTAAGAACAGAATTGCTGCCACCTTCAGCCGAAGATCTTTATGAAATGCCAGGAAGAGAAAGGCACGCAGCCACCCTGAAGAGCTACAGGCAGAAGAGACTGCCAGTCTTACTCTCCTTTCCAGTGGGGGGTGGGGGAGTTACTGACCACAGTAAGGCTATTTGCTGGGAAAATGTTTTTTTTTTTTTCCCTATTTTTTTAAATATTAATTAATTTGGCTGCGCTGGGTATTAGTTGTTGCATCTGGAATCTAGTTTCCCAAACAGGGATTGAACTTGGGCCCCCTGCATTTTAAGCATAGAGTCTCAGCCACTGGACCACCGGGGAAGTCCCTGCTGAATGTTTAAACCATGGTAAGCTATACAAGTAAGACATGCAATTTTAGTTAATTGCATGTCTAATTTCAGTTAGAACTGGAAAGTGTATTGATTATGTTTAAAGAATAAACAATGACAAAACATTCTACCCAGTTAGCTAAACTGCTAATACAAAGTCTTTAGAAGACCTAGTGGTGTGGTGTAATAAAAGACGTCTCAGGCACAAGGGACTAAGATTGTAATGCAGGCTTCAGCAGGAATTCACTGTGTGCTTGCTGCTTCTACTTTGGTCCTACTGACTTCTGAACTAAGCTTCTATAAAACCATGCTGGTCACCCTACCTCTCCTTGCCCTTGGGAGTATCAGAAGATTTCTCCACGATCCCCAAATATGCATTCATGGCTTTCATGAAGTGGCTAAAAGGATCACTTCTCATAGGGAGGCATTAGATTACCTGCTACCTTTAGGGGATCGGGCTCCCCAGGTGGCTCGGATGGTAAAGAATCTGCCTGTAATGCAGGAGGCCAGGGTTTGATCCCTGGGGTGGGAAGATCTCCTGGAGAAGGGAATGGCAACCCACTCCAGTATTCTTGCCTGGAGAATCCCACGCACAGAGGAGCCTGGCGGGCTACAGTCCATGGGGTCGCACAGAGTCAGACACGACTGAGTGACTAGCTTTAAGGGGAATACTTCCCTAGACAAAGGGGCGAGCTTAACAAAGAGGGGAACTTTTAGCATGGCCTGGAGACCCCATCCCCTTGAAACCCACTCCTGTTCTTAATGCATCAGACTCCAGAGCTTAGAGCTCCGCCCTGGTTCAGGTGACAATGCACATGACAGAGCCGCAGCTTCCTTCATCATGCTGGTGTTCATTGTGAATAATAAAAACATAAAAGTGAGATCTTCTGAAGCAAATGAAGTTTATTGGAAGAACACACGTATTCAACAAAATACAAGAGACTTAAGCAACAAATACATTTTAAAGACACAGAAATGAGGTTAGCTCAGGGAAACTCAGAAGTATGTCCTGCTTCTTTCTTTTCCTTTTTTTTTTTTTTTTGGGCCATGCCATGCAGCCTGTGGGATCTTAGTTCCCCCACCAGGGATTGAACCCCCTCCCCCCCTACATTGGAAGCACAGAGGCTTAACCACTGGACTGCTGGGCAAGTGCCAACAGTATGTCTTTTTATATTCTCTGCACTGAAAGGTTACCAGGCTCTCACTCATTCTTGCGGGTCTAGTCCCAAACTATAACAGAAATATTACTGGCTCAACTAGGATAAGATGAAAAGTATACCAAACCAAGTAGCTATGGCCAGGAAGCTCAGTGACACAGAGCAGAGAAGGCCGTGGGAAGGTTTCAGAGAAAAGAGGCCTGCTAGAGAGACCACTGAGCCTGACACAGTGCCTTCCACCCTGTGGAATACAAATACAGTACACACACGCTTTGACATGCCCCCATGGGTACAATATTTTTAAAGATTTCTTGAGGAAGCGCAAAAGCACATAGTATACAAAATGAAAACAACCCAAAGTCCAAGCCATTCCCAAAGGCCCCAAAGTCAATTTCTGGTCAAATGACAACTCACTGATGTCACAGGGCCACTCCTTGAACCGAAGTCCTCCTCATGAAGTTGATGACTTCTGTAGAACTGCTGTGATTCTATGAAATTCAAAGTCCTATGGACTAAAGGTTAACCTTAAACACCACTCATGCAAATACTATGTATACATAGAGAAACCAAGGCAAAACAATAATACAGATGATGTAAATGGCATTACCCATTTCCCCAAGGAGAAACATTCTTCCCTCTCAGTTCTAAAATCTAAAAACACTTGGAGGGAGGTAACACTCACTTATGATTATGGAAGGGTCATTTTTATTATTTTTTGAACCCCTTTATTGAGGTATGAGCAATGACTGACATACAAAAAGATGTACGCACGGAGGCGGCGGGTGTGGTGCGCACTCCGTTGTTGGGGAGCTCAAGCTAAAGGGTGATCTGCTAGAGAGTGTTCTCTAAGCAAAAATCAGAAAGAGGAAATTTACTTGAATCAAGCATGATGGATCCATGTTCAGTTGGAGTCCAGCTCCGTACCACAAATGAGTGCCATAAAACCTATTATACTCGTCATACAGGTTTCAAGACTTTGCAAGAATTGTCATCAAATGACATGCTTCTACTTCAACTGAGAACTGGAATGACACTTTCTGGAAACAATACAATTTGCTTCCATCATGCAACAATTTACATCGACAGATTTGAGGATTTGCAGAAGTCATGTTGTGACCCATTTAACATACACAAAAAGCTAGCCCAAAAAAATTTACATGTAATTGATTTAGATGATGCCACTTTTCTGAGTGCAAAATTTGGAAGGCAGCTTGTACCTGGTTGGAAGCTTTGTCCAAAATGTACACAGATAATCCATGGAAGTGTGGATGTTGATTCCGAAGACCGGCAGAGAAGAAAACCTGACTCAGATGGAAGAACTGCTAAAGCTTTGAGGTCATTATAATTTGCAAACCCAGGAAAACAAACTGAATTTGCTCCAGAAACTGGTAAAAGAGAAAAAAGAAGGCTTACCAAAAATGCAACAGCTGGTTCAGACAGACAAGTGATCCCGGCAAAGAGTAAGGTCTACGATAGCCAGGGCCTCCTGATTTTCAGGGGAATGGACCTCTGTGACTGCCTCGATGAAGACTGCCTAGGCTGCTTCTATGCCTGGCCTTCCTGCGGGTCTACCAAATGTGGTGCGGAATATCGCTGTGATCGAAAGTGGCTGTATGAGCAAATTGAAATCGAAGGAGGAGAAATAATTCATAACAAACATGCTGGATAATTTGTGGTGTCCGATTGTGACCCTTTCTGTATTTCTAAAGTTCTGTAATTCTAAGATACATGTTAAAGTTGGTTTTGTCAGTTGATGCATATGTACTCAGCGTGCACTAACACTGTCTTTTGGGTACCTTAAGATAAGTTATCTGATGTAAATTTAGATGGACTGTTTATTACTCAACAGTCAGCTCTTCAAGCCTGTCTGGGTCAGTGTAAAGAAGTAATGTATAGGCAGTCCTCTGTTTGTACAGTTTGCATGTCCTTAAATTTCCATGGCACTGATACAGTTAAATAAACCAGTTCCTTCACAGCAAAAAAAAAAAAAAAAAAAGATGTACACATGTAATGTATACAATCGAATGAGTCTGGAGATAAGTATACATCCATAAAGCATCTCCATAATCTATACCATAAACACACTCATCCACTCTGAAGTTTCACTGCACCTTTTTAATTTATTATTATTACTATTTGGTAATAGAAACATGACAGAACAAGATCTACCTTTGTAGCCTTTGCAGTACACATCAGTTTCCGGGTCTGGAGCAGATACAAAGGTGCCTGAGGCCTGGCTTTAACTACATCCTATATCCTGAAGCTCAGAACTCTGACAATCTACTAGAGGAAAATCTACAACAGGCCTTTCAGCATTCGGGAAGGTGCTTTGTCTGACTGATGGGGGAGGCTGGGTAAACCAGCGAATCTCCTTAGGATTCACTGAAGTGGGTCCACTTCTGCTCTTTTCCAAAGCTGATAAGAAGTAGTACAGTAGGTTTGCACATGAATAAGGAGAAGCAAAGGAAGCTCAGAAAGCCAACCCAAATCAAAACTCTGAGGTGGCCTGGCTGTGACACTCAGTAACCCATTTTGGGTTCATGCTGGAGTCAGCATAGTGGACCGGGAGGGCAAATTCAAATCCAGAGGGATGAAGAGACCATTCAAATTGTACGGGAATGCACATATTTGGCTCATTCTGTCCACTCTTTTTGACAGAGCTGCACACTAAAATTCCATAAGTAAAACTCTGCCGGATATGAGTCCTTGCCTCCTCCCAAGTATTCTAGCAGGTCCTGTGCAACACAAGACACAGAAATCAGAACTCTGCCAATTGGAGATCAAATCTCTGCTCCTTCAGAGTGCTTGAGAAAGGGACGGTGAGAGATGAAGTTCAGCTCCGCTTGCCAACAGACTGCTGACGTCAGCAGAGCGACTTAAACCATCTCTAAACAAGGTTTGTAGTTTTAATCCTCATCCCCAGTGATCCTATTGATCACAGAGAATTCACCCTGAGGACATATGTATGGGTAAAAAGCTCCTAGAGGATAAGAAGTCACTCATACTTTTTACTTGTCGTTCAGGTGCTGTTTCCACAAGTTCCTGCTGAGGAAGTTCTCTGCACAGGTCTGGCTATGGCCAGGACTTTAGAATCAGCACTTGGAGAGATGGTGAAGATACCCAGGGGACCTGGTATCTCACAGGGAGCACATTGTAAGGGACACTCAAATAAAGAAAATTAAATTGCTCATGTTGAAAAGGGACGAGGACTTCTTTCTCACCTTTCCTCAAAAACTCTGGAGTGTCGTCAGTTCTTTGTCTGACTCTGCGAAATCACTTCATTCGTGTCTGAATCTGTGTGACCCCACAGACAGCAGCCCACCAGGCTCCCCTGTCCCTGGGATTCTCCAGGCAATAGGCTGCCATTTCTGACTCTCTGCAATGTATGCAAATCTTTTCTGTAAGTTAAATAAGCCTCTTGGAAAGTTGCCAAACCAAGAGTGTTCCTCGGAGACCTGGCAGCAAAAGCAGTGACCAAGAGCCCATAAAGCAACAGGTAAAGGGCAGAAAATATTTCTGGGGGGAAAAAAAACAGTGTAAGCAACAGCAGTGCCTTCTCAGAATTCCCTTAGATTATATACTGTGCAACAGTACAGCTGGACAGAGAGCTCCCCTTCCACAACAGCCATTTTTCACAGGTCTAGGCAACACAGAGCAAGGAAGAGTCAGCAAACCCTTCATACAGACAAAATCACAATTAACTTGGGAAAATGGAAAATAAACCTGTTTTCACAATAAATGTCCTAGTTTATATGAAAGCCGTATCTTCTTATAGTATATCCATCAGGGCCCATTTTTATCTTCTGTCCCTCAGCTACGCTAAGCTAAAGAAAGGGCATGGGAATGGAGAAAGGAGACAGGAGAAAGAGCCCTGAACCCACAATGCCCACCACAGTCATCACACTAAAGACCCTTGTCCTCCCCACTGGCACTCTTTCCTTATACTCTCAGGGCCTCCTCCTCATAGCCCTGCTGGGCCTAAATTTCCCGAATCAAGAGAAAGCAAAAGCCTGACATGGGGAAACAATCAGGCCTTTTCCCTCCCCCAATTGAGCTCCCCTTTCCTCTCCCCCAGTCCAATAGCCCAACATTACAAACAATGCATAACTGTCCCTCCACTGTTGTACCAACACCACCTTCTTCCTTGAGAGTGCAGAGAAGGTCCCCCTGAGGCAATGTCACCCCCATCAATAGACAAACCTAAATGGAAGAGGAACCACCACCAGCCAGCCTTTCTCCTAGAAAGGCTTTCTAGCAGATACACGGGTGGGAGAGACAGCTACAGCCTGGGGATGCAGCCCTCTCCAGCAAGAGGAATACAAGCGCTTCATCCGCCAGCTGGGGCACCTGACTCGGGAGGTTCCTGGACATCCAGGCTCATCGGCATATGCCCTGAAGGAAGCAAATGGCCCTGGATTCATGGACAGTTCACTGACTAGACCCATCGGACCTCTGTCTTCCAGCCAATGTGCAGAGTGTGCTCAGTGGAAGAGTGCAGAAAGTGAATGTGGAAAGTTCCAACCACATTCTGACACAGTTGGGACTCCTCAGGATTCCCAACACTTCCCATGCCTCACATGCTGCCATTGCCAATATGCACCTTCTTAGGATTTTAGCAAGGCCCCTAGGTGTGTGAGTGTAAAAGGAAGAAGTGTCTGGTTGGTATATCAGTAGAACACACCAGCAACACCAACTCACATTCATGTGCCTCTTTATGGCAACAGGTAGTCTCAACAGAAGAGTTGAGCGGTCTATTCAACCAAGTGCAGTCAACATCAGCGGGTGCCTCCCAGGAGACCCTCTCAGACTACTGCTCTAGGCCACAGTATAGGAGGGGGAAAGGTCACCTTTCCTGAGCCGCTTTTCACAGCCTAAGGCAGTGCACAGACTGAAGCAGGAACACAAGAACATCCCTAACAGTGAAGTCCGAAATTCTGAGGAATGCTGTCACATAGGGTAAAGCCTTCATCATGAAAGTCTCACCTTTGCCAGAAAGAAATCCACTCTCATGTCACACTCAGCGATGTGCACTATTATGTTCAGTCCCCTTGCTACAATGATCCCAGGCAGTACCAGGAATTGAGAAATAGGTAGGAGACACTTTTGACCACAGAAAGTCCAATGCACCTTTCACATGGAGGGCCTATGTCCTCCCGTCCAGCTTTCTCCTTGTGCTCTCACAGCAGCTCTACAGAGGGTCACTCTTCCCAGCCCCTTCCCCACCTCTAGGCTTTAGGCACCCCAACGAAGGTCCATATGTAGTCAGTCATTCCATCTTTCCTGATCAGGGAACTCCTTCCCGCTTTGAGGCTCTAATCTCTACAGTACTTCTCCTGAAAAGAACCGACAATCAAAAGTGGCCTGAGAACCACTCATGAAACTCATTTAGTTCAAGATTCAATTGGTACAGCTACTATGGAAAACAGTATGAAAGCCCCTCAAAAAATGAAAACGAGAACTACCATCTAGTCCAGCAATCCCACTTGTGGTATGTATCAAAAGGAATCCCTCACACCAGGAATTTATAGAACATTAACATTCCCACGAGTGAGTACACATTCATTGAGGTATTGTCTCATGAGGCTAAGGAACATGGCTGGCTTAGGAATGAATTCCTGGGAAAGAACCAGCAAGCCAGATTCCATCTCAAATTCAGAAGACGATTACCTTCTCTTTCCACGAGAGCCCTGATTTCTGAGACTGTCACCAACTGGAGAGTCACCTTTTTGGAATCCTCAACCTTGTGACTTATTTTGAAGTGCCAATACACAGCAGATTGACCTCTTAAACCATCCATTTAGGTTTTCTTGACCCCTGCCTCCAATGAAGTCAGCCAAGATGACTTTGATGGGCAGTGAGAACAAGTGTGTGTGGAAGGGGAAGCAGGCCTCACTGTTATTCTTAAGTTTCACAATTGTCTTGATTAGGAAATAATCCAGTTTTGATCATCATCATGTCACCCGGGGAAGGAACATGGGCTTAGGACAGGTTTTTCTAAGTGTCTCAGGCTACAGGTTTTCACTGAGTAGGAAGTTATCATGACCCCCATCTTTCACAGCTTTAAAGTAATTTCACCGATTACAGGGATGAACAAAACATCTTTAAACATGCCCTCTAAAGAATAGACACTTTCGCTTCCAATCACAAAGAAATGTGGATTTTCTTTTAACATTCGCTGAATGAAATTCAGGTTCTGTGATGCCACCTTCTGGATAAAACCCGTGCTAATAAAGCAACACAGGAGCCCAAGGTTTCCATGAAACTGGAGCTTAGAAGTGTCTTGGAATGCACCTTAGAAGAGTTCATATTTCTATTTAGGGCTTTCCCCCCACCCCAACTGTGAAAACTCTTCCGCAGATTTTCAACAAATTAACCACTGCCCCGAAAAGAAGTAACTTTACACAGACAATGAAAGAGAGGAGACCTTTTCGGCACTGCCAGTTAACAAGCACCCTCTTGGTGCCGGAACTTGGTGCTGAGCCGCATCAGCTTCGGCATAAGGCGTCAGAGATGGCCACACAAGAAAGTGGCTCAGAGCAAGGCAAGGTGTGAGTTTCTGGGCTACCTCTTGGCATCATAGCAGGATTAAAGAGGCTGGTTTCCAAAGAGAAGCCCCATAATATCTGAGGAAAGTTGCTGGCCCTGTGAAAGGAAACAAACGTTTGGTTGAAATGGGGGCCTGGACAGGTAGGGAGATGAGCTAAATGAAGCCACAATGATCTGTTCCCATATTCTGGAAATGGTGTTCTAATTCCTTCAGTACCTCCTGTGTGCTGAGCACTTTACAAAACCATACAAGAGATATCCCTGAGAGCAAGGTGTGATTCCCATTTGGCAAATGTGGAAATTGAGGCTCAAAGATGACAGTAAGAAAGAGTCAGACTCAGACACTAAAATTTATTTTTAATGAAACACGAGGCATTGTCCCAGCAACATCTGCAAGGAAAAAAATAAAAATACCGCGCCCTTGCACCCCCTCCCTGACAAACGGCGGATGAGTAAACATTTAATGAAGTCTTGACCTGCATATTACTTAAACTGTTAGCCTACATCTCCAAGACCCCTGCAAACTAAATGCCCACCCTCTTATGGGGGGGGATAGACTGGCAGACTATCATTCTCTGCCACTCACTTGGTGTACAGGCCTCATCTTTCTCCCCTTTCCTAAATAGAGCTGGCTTGAAATTACATTCAAATCCATGTTCCCCTACCTGAAAAAAGCAGCACTCTCACAGTCTCTGGATTCCTGAAATTTGTTTTTCACAATCCATACAGTCCACCCTGCTTCTGCCTGGTATTACAAGTGTTTTCCAAAGGATAAAATGACAGACCAGAACTCTGATGTGAAAATGGCAAGATCAGGCTTTTTGGACAGGTGACATTCTAATAGGTTCAGTATGTCTGTAATAATGGCACTCACGCTGAACTGGAACAAGATGCCACTGACTAGTCAAAGACATCGATTGTAAACATAGTGTCTGAGCAGCGCTCAGGGAGTGATCCCGACATTGTTGCAAGTTCCTATCTTACAGACCCAGGGAAGACATTTCAACACCATGTTAAAAAATGTTGCAGCTCATGGGATGGATGCTACCCTCCTCCCAGCATTTGTGGCCCCACAGAACATAAGGTTACACTTACTCATCTGGCAGGTCTGGACAGCTAATTCCG